TGCGAAAAGTTTCTTTTTGAAACACGAGTTCGAACTGGCGAATTCTAGGATGTTATTAGGTATGTCTACTTACAAATAGTCAACAATTTATGTATCATATTATGGTAAAATAATTAAATAGACATTATATATTTTCTTCGATAATATTTGTTTAATATTGTACCGATTTTCCCATATTTTTTCCCACGTGTTCCCTCAGGATTTTCCTGGTTTTTCACATATTTCGAGAAAATCAAAAAAGACCTCCCTAAAGTACCTCCCCGAGAAATTTCCTTTCAGAAAATTGTCCATATCGTTTACATCAGAATGAGGTTTCTGGTAGACAAAGTATTAATATAAATAAAAAAATAATAAACACCTTTATAAATCCAATACATTCTTCGCTACACTCAGAATCTAAAACAATTAATAACACAATTTAGAATTTTTTAGTTTACGGGGATGACACTGTTTGCCAGCTAAATATTGATTTCAGGTCACTGCAGTGTGGGCGTGAAATGGATAACCGCTCTGTATACCGACGTTCGCGTGTCGACCGCAGACTGGGCTTTGGGAAATTAAAATTTATCATTATCGCAGCGACTCGGTCGTAATCGGTGTGGTAGGCGCAAACCCGACAGTGTTCGTAAGTTATAGTCAATTATCATTTTATGTCTGTACGTATAACCGATGATTTTTTTTCGAAAACCATTGTTACGTATATAACGCGGACGTCATAAACGCATAAAATACAAAACTATTGATAACCTATATCGTTAATAGGTGATTGGAGATATATTTTTCAGTCGATTTACGACACCTAAAAGCCAGACGAAAATCGTATTGGAATTTCGTCAGACGGATTTCAAATTTTGAAAACAGATTACGGATTCATCAGGTTTTTTGCGGGAGTACGATGGAAATGGAAATTTAATTTTTAATTTTTTTTACGTTTTTTTAATAGAAACGATAGAATTCCGGTTTAAAAAAAAAAAAACTCTATCGTATTCTAGTTATAATTACTTAACGAATCGTAATGCGTTTTCAAAATTGAAATCCGTCAAACGCAATTCCTGCGGTCTTGTCTGACTTTTCGGTCAGTAGAAAAGAGTCCTCAAAGGTCGTCGAAATGTAAACAAAAAATTCAAAATCATACAAAATTGGAGAATTTAGGAAAACCGTCACAAATCTCCTTAAAATAAAGTGATACCGGCATTTATAGTCTCGGTCCGGTGGACGTGCAAAATGACGCACTTAAAATTGAAATCGTGGACTTTAGGTTGAAATTGTAGTGTTTAAACACATAAAATCGTGACGGCATGTATAAAGCTTTTTGAGAAGAGTTTTTTCGAGGGCAGTTTGTTCCTTTTTTTTTCAAATTATCGCTAAACGAAAAAACCACAGCTATTTAAAAAAAAAAAAAAAAAAACATTTTGTTGTCTGTGTTTATCTAACGGACAATGTATAGCAACGAATACAGTTTCGTGCTTTCAATAATACCTACTCAGGATTTAATGTAGATCCAAAAACAAAAAATAGAGCTGATACTGGGAAAGGGTGCGGCCACTATTGTAGATGGGTAGTTGGGATAGGTAGAATACCTACAAAAAGCTATTAATTATATCTGTAACCAACGATAAACCATTGCTAACGAAAAACGATTCGAAGAGAAGTTCGTCGAAATTCGATTTAAAACTTTTATTCAAAAAAACAAATTTTATATTACACTCAATTTTTATTTTCGACCAATAAGTACGACCTACAATGAGCGTCTTGTCAAATTGTCAAGCATTTTTGTTTATTCTAACAATTTGTTCTATACAGTACCTATCAAATAAAAAAAACCTACACACAGCGGGCGTAGAATACAAGAAGTCTGGAACCACTGTATTAAACGAAAGTGTTTTTTTTTTTTTTAATTACTGTCGTTTCTCCCTCCAGTCTGCAGATTTTGTTTCATGGACAATTGTTGACTATAGGGGCCCTAAAATAAGCAGGTGAACTCGGTCCTATAATTCCATTGAATCGAGCGCTGCCCGCTACGTTCCGAATACGAAATGTTCAAGTTCAACGGTCGAATAACTTTCGGAACAGCGCAATCGGCGATTACTTTATTACCGTGGGAATATTTCGACAGACGCGAACCGCCCGGAAAGTTTAATTTTTATGATTCTGCGATTCTGATTAGCTGGTTAACTCTTAATTCCAGATTAATGCGCCATGTTGTTCGCACGGCCGCCGAACTTTAAAGGGCCGTGAACCAATACGAGTAGTGCGTGAGCGTCCGACTGGTGGAATGTGTGTGCGGTTTCGAACGACCGCCGGACGACGCGCGACGGTTCCGCGAGCACGCTAACGACGACGACAGCAACAACAAAACGGGGACGCTTCAAACTTGATGACGCGCGCTTGGCGTTAACCGACCCCGAGCGCAATGAAACCTATGGCGTGTCGACGACGCCTAAAACCCCGCGGACGACGGAATGAAAAACCGCGGAAATTTCAATTCGAAAGAAAACGGGCGGACATCGACACGATTAAATATTATTAAGTCGATTTTAAGCGCGAACGGCGGTACACATGCGTTTTAGATTATGAGCGGAGCGAGGAAGCTTATGGTTTTGCAAAGATGTTTGTTTATTTATTGTTTTTTTTTTTCCCCCCGCTATCTGTGCGCGAATTTAGGTACTTCACAGGCAGGTCGATTTCCCCCGGGAGTTTTCTCAACAAATGGGAAAACCCGGGAAAATAGGTACAACGTCTGAATGAATATTATTAAAGAAAATAATGCCTACGCAATTGTTTCACCATAATATGGCACACACACACATATATATATATATTGTTGACAAAGCAACACTATCAACTGAACTCCGCTCAGAATCGTTTATTCGTTAGCAATCGGTTTATCGTCGCTTATAATTGAGTTTCCACTCTACCGCGGCTTCCCAACTTCTCACCAAGAACAGTGGCCGCACCCACGCGCGAAGCATGTCCGTTATACAAAATATGCACGATATACTTATGAAGCATGCTTGTTGCTTATGCAGATCACACGGAACTCGCGCTTTTTTTTGGTTATACCGCTTTTACCGTTTATGAATAACGACTTTTTCTACGTTTTAGATTCTGAGTGGAACGATGAATGCATTGGTTTTACGACGGTGTTTTATTTTATTTATTTTTTTTTATGCGAATACTTTTTCTACTTTTTCTGAAAGAAAATGTTCTCTGGGTGGTACTTTAGAGAGGTGAATTTTCGAAATTCTCATTAACATTCGAGGTAACGAGGAAAACCTCGGTCTTCGGGTCAAAAATTATTGAAAGATTGAAAATAAAATCGTCATAGTCGACCATTTTTATCTATATTTTATCATTATTAAGTTTTTATTATTTTAATGTTTTTTAAACGCTCATTGTTACAATGCGATTTTACCATACAATGGACGTGTACCACGTTATATTGTATTGTTGACAAAGCGACACTATCAACTGAATTCCACTCAGAATCGTTTCTCCGTTAGCGCAATAGTTTATCGTTGCTTACAGATGTATACATTATTTTCACGTCTATATCTTACCTTCCCAACTTCCCACCTACAACAGTGGCTGCACCCGCGTGCGTACTGTGTCCGTTCTTTTTTCAATTCGTTAAAACTAGAAATTTCGTTCCGCGGCCTTTTTTTCACCGATCGCCGTCTCGCGCGCGGGAAAATTGAAAACGAACAGTGCGCGCCGGGCCGTGAAAACCGTGTGAAACGCAACAATTGCGTCCGGGGGTTTCTCTCGGGCGCCCGTCGGCCCGCGGCGCGGACAATAAACCACACAGTGTCACATTAAAGTCGCGTGACTCGTGCGGGATGGTCGGTCGTTGCTGCGCCGTGATAAATTATAACCGCTGTCGGTTCGCGTTGGTTGTTTTTTAAACGGTTACCGCGGTTCCCGCTCGGACGCGCGCGCACAGAGAAACAACAAACCAAAAAAATCCAAACGCGATTCGTTTGTCAACAAACTGTCGGCGGGCACGTTACGTCTTGGATTCGCGTTTTCGCGCGCCGTTCCGTCCGAACGCACGAGCGACGAAACCGACGTTACGTTCCCCCCCCCCCAAAAAAAAAAAAAAAATTAACAGGCGCGTTTGCCGATTTCCGCAAAGGCGAAACGTCCGTGCCGTTCGTTCCGTCGGTCCGGCCGCCTTTTGTGCGCTATGGATCCCGTTTCCGGAGTTGTTGTTCAGCCGTCGGAATCGTTTACGGGACGCAACCAGTACCCAACCGTACGTTGCGCGTACGGAAAACGAATTCGGGACGCAACTGCAGTACGGCGCCGAAATGGAAAAAAAAATAATAATAACCGGGACGCGATTCGCGCGCGTCCCCGAATATAACGCGCGCGCGTGTGTGTGTGTGTGTATGTGTGTGTGTGTGTATGTGTGTGCGTATGCGAAAGACGAGTTTTTATTTTCGCTTCTTCCGCGTAGGTATCGGGTGCCTACCGTTCGAGAACGGCAGAATATTAATTTGTTTGTTGTTGCGTCGAGCCAGCGCGCGGCGGATTGGTCGTCGGACAGCACGCTTAACGCCGAAACGGCATACGCACGTTTCTCGCACGGCACACGGTCGTGCGGCGGGAATGGAGCGGAGAGGTACGCAACGTCGCCGTTCACATATGTTTTTCGTACGAAACGCGCCGCCGACGTAGATAGGAAAATAATAGGAATTCTCGTTCTCTCACTCTCGCTCACTCACTCACTCTCTCTCTCTCTCTCTCACGCGCGCACGCACACGTTCTCCCACTCGCTCTCTCTCGCTCGCTCGGCTACGCGATAAGCGCGTTTTTTTTTCCCACGTTCGGTCGCTTATCACGCGGACAGTAACGGAGCGACGTTACCGTTGCCGCCGCCGCCGCCGACGTTCTCTCGCTGCACGAAAATAATTTATACCGTCCCGCGCGAACGTCGTTCCGCTTACCGACACCCGTCGCGCCCGCTCACGGTTTTTTTTTTCGTGTTTTTTTTTTCTTTCCACCACACCACACTCCGCGTTTTTCGCGCGCGCCCGCGTGTGCACCGTGCATGTGATTGCGTGGTGCGAGTGCGTGTGTGCGTGTGTTGACTGTGTGCCCGTACGTACGGCCGTACTCGACGCAACAATACTGTTCATGACACCACCGCCGTCGGTCTGGGTCCGTCTCGTTCCGGCACCACCGGCATCGCGCTCGCACAGAATACAAATACCGTCACAATATCCCCCGGCGTGTAGCCGAGCCCGGACGTCCCCAACGTCTCCGCGCTCCTTGCCCGGCCGAACAGTGACCATTTAACCTGTCACGTCTGTTGTGTACAGACGCGAAGCGAACACAACAGTACCGTCTCGTCGTCGTTGTCTTTACAGTCGGCGTTATAACACGCCAATCCGAAGGCCGCCGTGCGGGAAACGACGACACCGCGACCCAGTAGTTACGAATCGCCAGACCGACCGTGCCGACCAAATAGGCACTCGCTCACCGGTCGTCTCTCCAGGGCCCACTGGTCTCTCGCAAGACGCCGCTGTTAGAGTATGTCCGTCAAAGACGGGCCAATCGTTAAAATGGATGTTGATTGTCCGTCAACGCTCAAGAGGTGCAACAGCGCCCCCATGATTAACGACATGGGCGCTTCAATGCCAGGATTACCGTGCATGCCTATGATGTCCAGGTACGCATCGTGCCACTTATATTAATAATAAATCGCACCCCTCTCGGATTCCGTCTAATGCTAGTCCCGTATTGTAAAATCGCATAGTTTAGGTAAATTTAGTCTATCCGAACAATGACTGTGTTGCCTTTTATTCCTGGTTTGGTTTAGGAATGACAGTTGTTTTAGTCCAACTATACCAGGTAAATTTGTTACGTACTGTTTTTTAAACGGTTATACAAATGGCAAAAGTAATTAGGTAATCTTGTGTTGTTGCCATTTTTTTTTAAATTGAATTCTATTTTGTTACAGAGAAGCTCCGTGTAACATATTTATCCGTGCACCACGCTTCCGTAGATTTAGCACAAGTGGAAGTCCTCATATTACATTTCCAAATGTAAGCGTTTCAGTAAGTATCAATGAACTGATTACTGTAAACTGAATATTTGATTACACCTACATCTTTTAATTTTTTTTCATAGACTAAAATCAATTATTAAGTACTTATATATTAAGACCAATTTATTAAAAAGGCATTTTTTTTTTTTTTTAAGAATAAGAATTTGATTTTATTAAATACAGTAATACCTCTATTGATGGATACATCTCAATAGTGAACACTTTTAAATTCCCATATGTACATATTACATACGTATGTATATTTTGAATAATACAAAAATCCTATGACATTCCCTCCAAAATATTATTCTCTATAAATTTTATAATAAGTACTTTTGCTTTAAAATCAAAATTAAACTAGTTTTACTTATTCTGCAAAAGCATTGTTTTTCCACTATGTAGAGATTTCACTGTACTTACCTAATGTTAAGTACATTCAATAATATTGTATTTTGTGTGGAAACTATCGATTTTTCTTTTATTCTTTTATGTGTGTAGGTAGGTAGGTATAGAATTCTTATTCTCAAACATTTATTAGTATTAATATGGGAATGATTATAAAAACATTTAACAAGAAAGGTGAAAATAAATCAGAATTGATACATTTTTTTTAAAATAGCATTACTTTGAGAATTTAACAATCACTATTAGATACATATTTTAATAGAATGATTACATCTATTTCATGTGACTGATAAAACCATTTATTTAATTTGTATTAAGTTACATATTTTGCATAGGTAACATTATATTTGACAAATTACAAAGGTTGTATTATACTTCATGAATTATGCCTTCATTTTGTGTCAATATCTAAGTATTTAGTTTTAAATTTAATACAAATAATCTTAACTTCTACTTATTTATTTCAGACTTCACCAAAATTAGTTCATAGAGTCAACCAGCTGCGACAGGAAGAAACAGCCGATTTGATTAACCGAGAGGTTGCACATGAAAGAGAAGTACACTCTGCAATGCAAATATCACAGTCTTGGGAAGATTTATCGATCATGATAGATTCTCCATCAAAAGTAATCTTATAGTCTGTAGAAAATTTTCAAAAACTGTTCAACAACTCACTAAAAAATATTTTATTAATTTTGCCCAATGACTAACTTTTGAATTAACAACAAATATAAAACCAACTATACTAATAAAATATGAGTATAAATACCTAATTAAATATATTAATTCTTCAAAATATTTAACTTATTTCCATTGAAATTTTTTACACTATGATTTTTAAATATAAATAATAATACTGTTGTGCTACTTAATAAATTAATTAAAAATACTATTGCAAAAAACTAATTCTTTTTAATCTTTTTTTTTTTAGGCAGATGATGGACAATTTGGTAAACAATCTAACGCTCACTATGGTAGATCTAATTTATATGATCCTTTGCATTTAAATTTTTCAATGAACTCTGCTCCATCATCACCATCACCTACGAGGTCCATGAGACATTGTGTATCACCATCTCTTTTTAAACCAAACTTATCGCCTAGTCCTACGCGTAAAACATTTACATCTGGGTAATTATATTATCTGAAATATTTAACCAAACCTGAAAAGGACAATGCACCCATATTTACTGTCTTGGTCAAAGTAACAGGGTACCAAGTACTAAAAGAACACTTTTTCAGCAAAAGCCACTAAAAGTTATTTAAAAAAAAATATTAGTTTTCAAGTATCTTCAAGCCTCACTATGTATAATTTAATAGATATTGGTATTTGTAATATTCAGACTATAATGCATTTAAGCCGGGTTCACACAGATTCGTAAACTGGGCGAGAATACTACTGTTAGGAGAGTTAGTCGTGATCACTACCTGGTGTGAACTGGTTGTCGTGGTAGTAGGAGTTGTCAACGACCAAAAATAGATCGGTCTTGATTAATTCGGAATGTTGGAGTGAACACGACCAGTTTAGTTGTGAAACACCCACCAAATGGGAAGTACAATAAACAACTAGCTATTGCCTTTCAGACACTAATTTGTGTGAACTGGAGGTCTTATATTATTGGTCGTGAAAATCAAGCAGTCGTGAGACATACACAGACCGAGTAGTATTCACGAACAGTTTGCGACTCCGTGTCAACTCGGCTTTATAAACAGTTAAGAAATAAATACTCTGAGAAAGTTTATTTGATCTCTATATTTCTATTTTTCATTATTTTGATGAATTTCGAAGTAGAGTGAAAGATATATTATAAGCATTAAATTTAATACATTAAATGTTCTTGTCATAAAACGTTTAAAATATGTCACAGAATATTGCTTAAAATTAATTTTAATAAAACACCCATCCCCGGCTAAGAAATTCATATCAAAAATTCCGTTCTAAGTTTAGTTCTTCCATTTTCAAAACTGTTATTAGTTGCACAGATATTTTTAGTAATTTTACTACAAATTTCCTAAATATTATATTTTATAGGCCTAATACATTAAAATTACTAGTTCTTACTCTCATTAATAGAATTTACAAAAATTGCATTTCGCAAAAGATAAGTTGCTAAGTAATATGGTTTGTGACATGAATACTATTTTTAAAAAAGATAATTTTTGTAATGACAAAAATTATCTTTTAAATAATATTGTTTTAAGTGATTTATTTACTTGTAGTCTTTTAAATAAACTTAAAAAAAATAGAAAAATCTGAATTTTCATAAAATCATATAATATATTGTAAATATTTTGTCAAGAAGGCTTCTGTTCTATTCAATAATTCATTATTAAAATTTATGAGATTTCTTCAAGCAGCTGATTGATAAAAAAAAAAAAAACTAAAGTAATTATGTTAAGGGAACCCTCAGAGGTATACTCTGTTCCAAAAGAACATACCGGGTAACAACCAGTTTTCGTTTGGAGGCAGGCATCCCCACCAGGTACAACTGATCACACACCAAACATGCTACAAACCAATTACTCTCTGTGAACTGGCATACTGATTGTGTCAAATACCACTTAATTTTTGAGATGGTGGTGGCAATAGTAACCAACACCATTTTGGTGTTGGTTTGAGAAAAACAAAATCATTTCAAATCGAAACTATTTATTACTATAGCAGGTTAACCTACGTTGTGTTTGATATTATACAAGTTTAGTTTTGTATCCATGTATCCAATTTTAACCGAGACCCGTTTCTGTATAATCTATAGGTATTGCGCGAAAACATTTTACCTGATCATATGCGCATAAAGAATAAGATGATTGTTAAAAGTGTCACAATTTTCAATAGACAGTACATGTACACAGGCAGTTGTCTAAATAACCGCCCGAGAGATGATAAACAGTTTACACAGATCGATGCAAAACCTGCGGATTTAATAACGCGCGCGTGTTCGATCAAATACCACTTAATTTTTGAGACAGTGGTGGTGATAGTAACCAACACCAATTTGGTGGTATTTAACACAATTAGCATGCCAGTTCACAGAAAGTAATTGGTTTGTAGCATGTTCGGTGTGTGATCAGTTGTACCTGGTGGGGGTAGTCGTTACCCGGTATGTTCTCTTTTGGAACAGAGAAAGAAAAACACTGAAAGTTAACTAACATTTTTAATTCAAATAGTTATTACTTGTTTTTTTTTTTTTTTAATTATTATGGAATCATTAAATTTTTATTTTGTTTTTCCCCTTTTTAATATACCTTATTTAAGTGTATGCTCTTGTTTTATGAATAGAGAATATTTTTCTAGACATTTTGATAATATCACTAATATTAGATTTACTGTTTATGAGTTATAACCATTTAAAGTTAAGTCCTAAGAAGTAGGGAATGGCCCTCCCATCCTCAGAAAATTGCTGATTCATGATAAAAAAATGCACTCATTTTAAAAAAAAAAAAAAAAAACAATATTTAAGTTTGAAATATTATAAATACCAACTAAATATCAAAAATAAATTTGATTTCACATCAGCCCATGTTGTTATAGATAGATTTCCAAATTTATTTCACTATTAAATAATTATTTAATCATTTTTTTTTAAAATTGTAATCCATTCCTGGTTCCAAAATGCTTTTTTGGTTTGGTTAACTTTAATTTCCGTGCTTAGTAAGCACGTTTTAGACTTAATAATAATTAATTTAATATAGTTTATGTTTTAGACGAAGCTTAAGTCCAATTTCTATGCGTCCCAGCAGTTTAGGACCTGTTAAGAGAAAATGTGAAATGGATGACTACGAGCCACATCCAAAGAAATGGGGGTTATTGATTACCAATAATAGGTTTGTAAAATTCTTTATATCATAAAATATATATTCGTTATAGTCCTTATTTTGCCAAATTCAAAATTTTCTTTAGTTCACCCACCTATCTTGAGCTGGTTAATAAAAAAATATATATATTCTCTAAGTTTGAGGCCATTTGTATAATATTTACAGCAAAAAAATTGCTTGAAGTCAATGAAAATAGTGTGCAAATGACCACAGTTCATTTAGAATTGTTTTTTTTTTTATTAAAAATAAAAAACCTATTTTAATCCTAAGGTCTTAATGTATTTCTTGATAGATAGATATTTATAAATATAGATTAGATTGTCCAAGAGTTTCATGTGAAATGAATAACTATAGTAGAACCTTGATAAGTCGAAATTCATGGAAAATGCAATTTTGAATATGGAGGTTTTTGAGTTATCAAGGGTTGAAGAAAAAACATTGACTTAGAGGTTTTAAAATGTATCTAAGTATTATAGTTAAATTATTATTATTGACTAGCTCTAGCTATCCCTTGCCAATTTTTTCCATTATTCCCGTATTGGTTTACTTGTATCAGAAAATAGGTTGAGTAGTCCAATGGACTGTGTTCTATAATCTGTCTAGAGAGAACGGGCCGCTTGTGCGCATGTTTTCCCCCTCCACATAACTTGATTTCAGCGAAGGCAGCTGATTGTCATTGTTTCCATTTTTGATTATACACCTCTAGGATATTCTGTAGAAATTCAATTGTTATTATTATCAGACATCGCACGTTTTTTTACCTTTGCTGTTTTATAACCTCTTGATAATTTTTCAAATCGTATATACAAGCACCTTCTATAATAATCCAGACTTTGTTTTTTTTGTATACATATTTATTTATTTAATATTTTATTGAACACTGTAGGTATAATACAGAGTTATATATTTAATAAATAATAAATAATTATATTAAAACATTTCATTTTTTTCGTTAAAATTACAATTTATCATTTTTGTCATATTTACATAATTTTTTTTAAATAATTAAAAAAAACGGAGAAAAAAGTAAAAATTACCAAACGGTTTAAAAAAGTAAATGCTGTAAAAATGATGTGTACCTACACCACGGCAATTGGCGATGCAGCGCTGTCAATAGATCCGGGAGGGGATAAATGGATAGTGTTGCCGCGTGAGGATACGCAGTAGCGATTCGATTTGGTCGGAGAGCGGCCCGCCCATTCTCTCCAGAGACAGACTTTAGTGTGTCATACTGTTTTTCATCCATGTTACCATAGATTGTCTAACTGATGTGCTTTATTGTCAATTCTTCATCTCACTTTTTTGTGGTAAATATGATAAATGTCCTTTAACAACTGCATCGTTATGATAAAATTACTTTTTACTTTCAAAAAATTGAATTATTGTCCCCTCATAATTCACTTAGACAAGCAAAAGACTCTATATTATCAGTATATGATCATTTTGGCATTGAAAAAAAAAACAATAGAATAAATAGACTTACAATGGAGAAATATTGTTTTTCAAAAATTGGAAAAAAATAAATCTGCTGTAGAATTTTGGTCTTAAATTAACAATTTCATTGATACTGCTGGACTCTATGGCAGACAAAGACTACATCTATCATAGATTAAATAGACAACTAAGAAAAATGTTTATAATCTTAGTGCAATGGTATATAGAGTTCAAATCCCAGATATCATAAATAAATTTATGCAATTTTTTTATTTATTCAGTTGACTTTTTAGACATTTTCTTTCATAAAAATCTTGCCCTGACAAATTAAGAATACAACAAAAAAAAAAAAAAATCAGAAAAAATCTGTCAAGCCATTCTCACATGATGTGATGACCAAGGGAAATGGGGATTCATTTTTACATATATAGATTAATTTATTAATTTTATTAATTAGTATTAAAATTAAATATTTAATTTAAAAAAAAAGTACAATAATAAATAAGATTAGGATAAATTATGGGACACATAAGTGACACATGATTATAAAAATGATTTATCTATATTTGGAATACATAATGTTCGAGTTGTGTATAGATATTCTTTCAGTAATCATGGTTTTCTTAATGGAACATCATTTATTTCCATTTATTGAGGTTCCACTGTTTGTCTATATTAATAGTTAAACTTAGTAATATTAATAAAGTATAATCAATTCGCATCTCACAATAACTCGTTCTTAAATATTGAAAAATTTGACAATTCAAATTTATTTCCACCCTCTTAAAATTCTTGTAAAACTCTCGAATATAAAATATTAATAAATAACTTAACTGTAACGATAAACAGCTTATAAACTTCTAATTTTCTTCAATTAACATATCCCAATGTATCAATAAAAGATATTAAGATTTTAGGATTAAAATAGGTATTTTATTTTTAATTAAAAAAACAACATGAACAGATCTGTGTGATTTGTACACTATTTTCATTGATTTCATATAGTTCATTTTGATATTAAATTAAAATATTAAAATGCTTTGCACCTCTATCAAATATTATCCAAATGGCCTCAAACTTTGAGGATATTTTGTTCACTATTCAGCACAAGATAGGCAGATATCCTAAAAAATATTTTGAAATGGTAAAATAAGGACCACCATAAATGTATTTCTTTAGTTTAAGATGAAATAAAATCTAAGATAATGGTGATGGATGCAGCCACTGTTATAGGTGATTTAATGTATACCTGTAAGCAACAATATTAACCATTGCTTACAAAAAATGTTTCTGAGTGAAATTCAGTTGATTATGATGCTTTTTCAACAATATATGTCATTTTATAGTAAAACTTAATAAACTTTATATATTTTCTTTAATAATATTTGTTTAATGTTATACCGATTTTCCTAAAGAAAATTTGTGCACAATAAAAAGGGCGTAATATATTTTAACTAGTACCTACATTTCTTATATTTTCCAATTTTTTTTTTCGGTTTTTTAAATTTGATGAAGAAACTCCTGAGAAAATTAAAAAATGATCTCTCTAAAGTACCTCTCTAGGGAAATTTACTTTTAAAAACATTGTTATCATTATAAGTTGAAGCAAATTTACTGGTAGAAAAGTTGTGCTCAGGAAAAGAAATTATAATATTTTAGTTATATATTTGGTATATTTTCCTGTTTTTTGTGTATTGTGTATTTTTTTTTTCTGACTTTAAACAACTTTTCTCTTAAAAATTTGCTTCAATTAAAATAGATGAGACCTTTTTTGTTAATTTAATTTTTTAAATTTTAGACCTGAAGCAATGCAAATGAGTGGTATTGTTCCTACAACAATGGATGCATCTTTAGTTACAGATTCCATATGTAGTAGCAGCGGAGATTCCTCAAACAGTAACCATTCATATTCCTTTAGACCATTGCAAAGTCTTATGGATCAATCAAAAAGTAATTCCCAATGAAATGTTAAACCAATATTAAGATATATAGTTTCACTTATTTTTGTTGATCCCTTTTTTTTTTTTTGCTATTATTATTATCATTACAATAATTGCAATTATTATTACTATTATTATTATTATCATTATTGTTATCTGAATTATTATCATGACCTTATGTTAAAAACTTTTCAAATCCCTTAAAAATACTTTTGTTGTAATAAAAATTTGTTGTTAACTAGTCTTTGTACATAAGTTAGCATTTAATATTGATTTTTGATAATAACAAAATTTCGTATCAGTTTACTTAACATCAGTTTGGAATTTTGTTGTGGTCAATTAAATATAAGTAATGCAATATTATTTTTTTAATTTTTTATGATTTTAAATTACCTCAATTATACTATATGTTTCTAAATTCATTAGATTGGTATGCTGCTGTACTTAATATTTCCCAATTATAATTGTTAACTAATGTGTATATTGTTTTGTATAGAATAACATATTTTCCAGATAGTTATGATAAAAACTTAACCACCACCAAAAAAAAATACAATGATAATTTAAAAATGTAAACAAATACCTAAGAATCTTAAGTCCAAATATGTTGTTCTAATTTTCTAAAAGATCATGCATATATGGGATATTGTTTAATACAGGGTGTCCTACAGTTTTATCCAAATGCTAATAATTTTGTCAATATTCATTTTTTTAATGTTTTTCACTCAGGTTTTGAGGGAAGCATATATAGAGAACATTTTTTTATTAATAATCTTTATTTTTTTTTCAGCTATTAAGGGATGAAAATAAAAATTTAATTTTTCTGTACTTTTGTATCTTGCACAAAACCCTGAAAAATAATTGAACAATGACAGTTATTAGCATTTGGATAACACTATATTTTATTTTTTTATAATTATTGAAAATATTTTTTTAACAATTACAAATGAATTAAAACAGTATATATGAACTATTATACAGTGGCACATATAATTTCTTAAAATATATTTAACTCAAATATAAAATAATAAGTACATCAAGTTATTGTCGAGAAAACCAAAATACTTTAATTTTTATATTAATATGTGAATCATATGTACTTGGAATTTCAATGATGATAATTTATTTAGATAAAAAATTAAAATCCAGGATAATGTTTGATCAAAATGTAAAAATTACTGTTCCTAAATAATCAATCTGCTACATTGATAGAATACAAGATGAATTTAGGAACATATAGATACCCTTAAGAGGATGTCACGCCTGCATTTAATGTCTCAGTCTAACTAATGGTCAACATGGCAAATATATATTACTTGCATAACATAAATTATGTTATTAAAATTCAAATTATTAAAGCTGAAACACAAACAACAAAAATTATAGATGAGACTATTTTTCAAGGGCTGTGAGTAACTTGTTTCAAATAAGTTACAGTTGTTTTAAAACTGCTCTTTTAAAACCAAAGTAGATGTGACATCCCTTTAAAAATCATAATTTATTTATACAATTTATATAATTCATTGTTAATTTAATTATAACTTCTATTGGACTGTCTATAATGTGATATAATGTGATATTTATTAATTTTACATTATTTTATTTATTACGTACCTATTGTCGTAATGGATATTAACATAAAAATAAATATTATTTATGATTAATTATGTTATTCCTGAAAAGTAAAAACATATTATAAATAATGCAATGTAATAGAAATAACTATTTTATTATAATTAACAAATTTTATACCAAGTAATAGGCCATGGGATTATATGCATCTAAAAAATGTCAAATATAATCGAAAAAAAAATTATCTATATATACATCATGTTATACTAGACCAAAAATGATTGAAAAAGACTAAGAATATTTCTGTGTTATGTGTTATCTAATTTTTAATCTTAGAGACCATTTAGTATTTAAGTGCAATAAAAAGAATAAAAACCTTTTTGTGGTTAAGAATGATGTTTGACCATTAACAATATAAATGTAATATTAAATGAATTTAGTCAATTATAAGAAAGTAAAAAATATAATTAATTGTTGTTGTAATTGACAATGAATATAATTGTATCCTTATACTATTTCTTGTAATTTCCTGTAAATTATTAGTTAGCACTAACTGTAAATTGGAAACTGTGTCAAAAAAGATGTAACAGTTTTCTACCCGGAGGAAGATTGGCATATACTAGCACAAAATCGTGAAGGATAGAGGCAATTATGTTTGGATGTGTGGTCTAAAAGGCCGTAAACAAAAAAAAAAAACTAAATTAAGCAATAGAATTTTGTCAGTTTACATCAAATTTAATTTTTGGTTATCGCTGATTAACTATTGCAAAATGGGCCTTAATAAATCAAATATGAAAAATGACCTGCCTAAAGTACCATCTACATAAAATTTGCTTTCAGGAATGTACTACACTTGATACTTTGGAGTAAGATTTCTGATTTTCTACCACTCATTCATAGTATGAAAAAAAAAATAAATATTGTAAAGCCAATATATTCCTCACTACACTCAAAATCTAAAAGAATAAACTGTAAGACTTGTCATAGATATTTTATTGATCAAACAGGGCACTGATCGAAACTAATACAGAAGGTCAGAAATAATGCACTAATTAAGCGATTTTCATCAAAATTTTAATAAAAAAAAAAAACTACATTACTAATTTTGTTTCCTTTGACCACTAAGTTCAACTTATAATGAACCTTTTATTAAATTTTCAAGTATTTCTGTTTGGTCAAAAAATTTTATCCACAGAATACCTATCAAATAAAAATTATATAAAAACAAGCAAAATTAAAATAACTATAAATTACTCAAAACTGGCTCAAATATTTTGAAAAATTATTTAAGTCTAAAAAAGGAAACCACGTTTTCTGTTCAAATTTCAAGTCTATGAATATTATTAACTGAATTACAACAAAAACTAAAATTGAATATAGTAAAAGCATATTTTTCGTAAAGAGTAAAATTTAAAATAATGAAATGGTAACATACATTTTTCAGTTTTCATTTAACGTTTTTCCTTATTATGAAAACCAGAAAATTATAAAATAACCTACCAAATGTATCACCTCAGGAAATTTAATTTCTGAAAAAATCCTATAGGTACCTAAAAATTGAAAAACGATTTTTGATAGAAAAGTTGTTCACAGATAAAAAAAACATCATTGTAAGACAAATGCATTCAACACTTTATTCAGAAGCTAAAGTTGAAATTTTGTAGAATGCTGTGTAATGTTTTAAACGTTTGTATTAGAAAAAAACAAATGGACATACTTCGATGGGTGGGTTACTGTTGTAGGTAAGAAATTGAGAAGGTGGAGGGGAAATTTAATGTATATCTCTATGTAATGATTAATCATTGCTAACTAAAAATGATTCTGAGCGTTGTTTGGTTAGACATGGTTTGAAAGGCTGTCAATAATTATAACTTGAAAATAATACATTAAGTAAATTTTCCAGTTTTCCATTTATTATTGAAATAAAAAAAAAAATGTATATCTCTTGTAATTTTTACTTGACCTTTTTATAAGCACAATATTTTTCAACAAATAAAAAACAGTTCAACAACCCTCAGTTTCCACAGCTCAACATTTTTTAACAGCTAAACCACAACATTGCTCTCTAAATATACAGCATCAGTTTCATAGCTTTCAAAATTTACAACATCAGTTCCATAACTCAACATCTTCCGACAACCTCAACATTAACTCAATATTTTCTGGTATTTTTTTTGTTATTTTTTCTAATCTATGTTTAAATACTTTTTGATCCAGTTTTAATGTGAAAATATCAACAGTGGCAACCTGACCAGGTGAGGGATGAGGCCCCTTGAATATAATGTTTTTTTTTTTTTTTTCTAATATTTTAGAAGAAAAAAATTATAAATTATTAAAGTCAAAGTAAATAAAATGAAAAATAAAATAATTTAAAAATTAATAACAAAACTATAATGTTATATATGCAATGCAAAATGATTGTATTGATCAAAATTATAATATTACTGACCTGTTCTAAAAACTTAAAATATTAAGTTAAAACAATTGTACGATAAAGCATTAATTTAAAAAATGTACACGAACAAGAAAGACTTTAAATTGCACAATGTCTATAAAACAAGAGGTGACGACAGTGGTAATTTGAATCTTAACATACTAAATACAACATTAATGCAGAATTATTATGTAACCAGAGGTATAAGATTATTTAACTGACTTCCTTCAGATATTAGGCAAATTAGGTAATGGATAATAGCTCAAAATTTAAATTAATACTAAGAAATCTGTATCTGTATCTGTATCTGAAATCTGATCATTCAATGACTTCATCAGACTAATGTCTCTATTATTATTATTTTACTATTGTATTGATTATTACTTATTAGCAATATGATATTAAACCAGTTTATTATTATTATGTACCTATACCTCGATTTAAGTAAATTGTATTAATGTATTATGTTAATATAGAAATATCACTTATATTTAATGTACCTAACATAGGTATTTTTTTGTTATATAAACTCCCTACTGTCAACACAAGCATTTGATTAGAGAGAGTAGATATCAACTTCTAATCTAAGGAATTACTAATGTATATAAATAGTTGAACGATTCTGAGGGGAATTCAGTTGATAGTGTTGCTTTGCCAACAATATTTGTCATATTATAGTAAAATAATTAAGTATCTACAAATTATATATTTTCTTTAATAATATTTATTTAATATTTTACCTATTTTCCCGTTTTTCCTACGTTTTTTCTCATTTTCAGTACCAAAAAATACTCCCTTTCAGAAGAGGTGCTATACTTGATACTTCGGAGCAAGATTTCTGGTAAAATTTGTATACACAGTATAAAAAAAAATAAACATCTTTGTAAAACAATAAATTTTTTCGCTCCACTCAGAATCTAAAATATGATATATGCTATATACTATATACGATATACCTATATAGTATATAGGTACATTTCGAAAAGATAAAAGTTATAACATTAAGTATAAATTTGCACAAAGTTTAAAACAAAGTCTAATATGTCATAATAACTTCATACAATGTATAACATTTCAAAGTATACTCACCTTCAAGTAACATTCAAATCTATAAAATAAAAAATATATTAAATATATTTTAATATAATAGTTACGTACTTTATATTTCAATTATTTTGATTTATGCAGGACCCAGCAATTCTAGTATAAAGATTTGACCGACGGGGCTCATATATTTGTTTGTTTTATTTAAGGATTAAATAAACGCATTTATATTTTTAACTAAGAGGACTTTTAATTGGTTTAGTTGGTGTTTCTGTGAGTCTGGTTGTAAGAATCCCAATGTAGGCACAGTTGTGTACACAAACGCAACACAACACTAATAATAATACGTGTCGGCGGTGCCGAAACCAGCAGTCAAGGGTGGAGGTCGCTACCTTTCCTTTAATAGGTGGGTGATGGTGGATCCATGATGGATACCTGAGCCATATTTTTTACCGAATTGGTACACATGGAATATTAATTGTGTGTTGCATAGGAGTTTGTTTTGTAAACGAGGGCGGTGGTCTATAGAACTTTTCACTTGCCCACCTTCTTTTGAACATGGTTCGGCGCCACTGATACGTATTTTAGTCTAGACCTTAATAAGGGTCACGTCGATGTAACCGGTTGTTGGCATGTACTGCCGGACGTCGCCGGCTGCGATACCACCGGTCCGATTCCAAAACCGCAGATGACTAATGACGATAAAGAATACGCCGTGGGCTCTTAGGCGACCGAGACATACTGCCCATTATGTTCGTGGGACACGGTAGCACCCAGCGCGGTTAATCCGACGGGCAGTCGAGATTGGCCTCCAGGAATGCCTTAATGTCCGGCTCTACCTCCATAGTCTGGTCACCCGGTTGGTCTTCGCCGGTGGGTGCAGTCGGCTCGGCCCTGACTACCCTCTCCGTCGTACCCACCAATCTAACGACGGTCGGTGCCACTGGAGGTGCTCCTTCACATGGTGGGGCTCGCCGGCTCGGGCCTGAAACCGACTCTCGTCCATCCCGGGCCGCGTGTCGCTGATACTCCAATGCCCGACCCGGGAGTCGATTTAGGCGGTTCACATCCCGTCTCGATGGCCCATTGTTCCGGTCCCGGGGAATGAGAGTCACCACTCTTGTCAACCGGCGCGCGGCACCCCTCCACGAATTCCCGTTCAAAGAGGGCCCAGGCCACTTGATTGGCCCGGATGTGGACAGCGTTCGGCGCACGCTCCGCTGTCGGTCTCGCCATGGATGGCGCTGGGTCCTTCCCAGTCAGCCTGGATGCCTCCCGGTTCAACGCTTCCGCAATCCGCCGGATCCACACTACCTCCGCACCATCACCTTTTCAGCACCGTTCCTCGTAATGGGCGGTTGGGGCGTCTATGATCAGCCGTCTCTGGAAATAATAATTTTTAAAGTTTAGGTTCTGAATGGTTCTGCTACCCGCTTTATAGCGGATGCGTGCATTTTAATGGGGTACCTCCCCGCCGTCCTAACACCCCTAGTTGTTCGCTCAACCGATGGCTAAATATATAGGTATGATCACAACTTTGTGGCACACAGGTCACAAGGTATAAATTCACCCACACTATATATAATTTATATATTGAAAATGTACTAAAAAATTAAGGAAATAAGATATTGGAGGAATAAAAATGAATGGTATGCTAGTTGCTGGTAGGACAAATGTTGTTGCGTTTTGCAGACGACATAACAGTGATAGCGGAATCGCTTGTCGGTTCATGGGTTGCATAGGTTGTCGGTTCAAAGGAAAAAAAAAAGGTTGATTAACTTGGGAAGCTTAGAGTTTAACCTAGGTTTAGTGAGGTTAGTTTAGCTCTGCTAGCTCGATGCTTAAAAGTAGCTGAAAGCATAGCAAGTCTACTTTCTTACCTATATGATAAGATAAATGAATGGTATAACCATGGTTATAACAGTAGGTATAACCGTAATTAGAATGATAGAAAAAAGGAGGCGTGGTTAAAATAGCTCCACTACGTGGTGAACAATTCGGGTGGCCATGCTAAAGTATAGCTCCACTTGGGGAGCCATGTTATAGGTATAACTACCCTTAATTTAGAACATACTTTATCAACCTACTTTTTAATACTTTCAAGTATAATACAAAATGTTGAATAAGAAACTCAAACTTTGAACCTTCTAACAATTCAGGGAATGGTAATTTTAAGTGTTTCGACATGTTAACAAATATTTGAGATAAATCTTATCTCAATATGCTTCCCTTCCATTGTTGTCAATAGAATATGGAATACTTAAAAGTACTGATTGATCAAATATTATAAAAGAGGTTGTGAGAAAAAAAAATAAGAAAAAATAGTTTAAACTATTAACAGTTTTATTATTCTGTTATTTATATTGTTGTAAATAAGTACCTTTATGTTTATGTGCAACTGTACTAATGTATACTTAATTGTTAACGACAATTAAGTAAAACAACTTTTAAAATATAATACTTACATCATTAATCACATAAACTTGTTTACATTTCTTAAGTACCTAATTCATTCTTATTTACTTTTCTTACAAATAATAAAAAAATTAATTTTAATTAAAATTGCAGATAGGCCATGGCCCTCACACTCAGGACCGTCCTAAGGCCGAGGTGAGCGGAGCCCACACCCTGTGCCCCGCGCGAGTTATATAAATTTATAATTTAAATATAGTGCCAACAATAATGTGTACTGTGTGATTTCATTAGTAAAAGCAAATAACTATTTGATTATAACCAAAACTATAACTATTTAATTATTAGTTTTACAATAAATAACCAATATAGTACCAAATAAATTTCGAAATCTACAACAGCGACTACAGCTAGTTACGCAGGCTATAAAAAGTGAAAACATATAGCCACATAGGTAGGTACGCGATAGTATTGTTTTTGTTTAACTATTTTTATATTGGAAATGAAAAGAGCAAAAAAAAAAAACTGAAATAGAACAAGAAAAAAATATGAGGGGCTCTATAAATAATTGTAATTATTTTAATTTTATTTAATTATGTGTGCAAAATACGTTTTTGGATGTTTAACATTTAAGCAATAAAAAGCAAATTTAAAGATCAAATAAAGATAAAGGGTTACTTTAAGGTAGGTTAAGTGAAGTACTGGTGAAAGTAGTAATCTAGCGAAATCACGGTCAAGGGATCCAAGTGGGATTAATTACTTGGTCGTTTCTCTGTGGCTTCCTAAAGGGCCCGGGAGAGCTGCTTTATCCCCCGGGTTTGTTAGATTGTACAGGCTTTTTCGTGGCGCGTCCTGGCATTACTGATTTCGTGTTTCACATTTTTGCGATCTACGTTTTCTACCAGAAATATTGTTCCAATCAAAAAAAAAAGGGACGGCTTGAAAATCCCGGAAAATAATCGTATGGACTGTAAAATTTCAGAATGTAAATTTACTGACAAGAAAACGGCGGACTGTAAAAATTCGGAATATAAAACACAGGAAATTCCCGGACCATAATCGCTCAATTTTCCACCTCATCCTGCATTAGTAGTTATATTTTTAGAACCTCCCCCCCATAGTTCAACTCTGGATCCGCCACCGTTAGTGGTCCTATTTTTTTAAATTCATTTGATCTACTCAAATGGCGGACAATAACTTCATGTCTTATCACTATATAGTTAGCAATCTATAGGTAGTTTATAATTTGTATCTGTGAACAGTGGCGAAATGCCGGAGCACAATATTAATGTACGAAAATATTAAAATTCGATATTTTTATTTTCACTACATTATAGAAGGTAAGTGACTGTCTAAAACCTACTTATGTACCTACCCAATTAGCGGTTTCTATTACGTTCGCGGTTTCCACTATTTTGTCCTAGACCCATATTTTACGTACGGTAAGTAGGTACTATATATTATTAACCAATGTTTGTATCTAACGATACATATCTACGATCTATCTAATAATTAGTCGAAAATTGTGTAAGTGTGTAATGGTACGTATATAATGACGTCACCGAGAAATAGAGCACGTATAGTTGACGGGTGTTCAGTATTACAATATGATCGTAGGCGTAACTATATTATAGTTCCAGACACTATGTAGTGTTGGAAAGTACTTGGGTAAAATGTGCTGCATCTCACCGCATTCGCACAGTGGTGAGTCGGTCATGTCCCATTTGTAAAGTAGGTAGTTGCACCTTCCCTGCCCGGTTCTAATGCGATTGAGTGTTGTCCATTGGGCCCTTTTAAAATCCCAGCCAAGAACTTTTATGAACGGTTTTTTAATCAGTTTTCGGTTACGATTTTCTGTTAGGCTCCATCGTTTTTTCCATAGGAACTCTGTAGTCTCATTGTTCGTTTCTATGCGCCACATGGGAGCTCTGGACTTTAAACGTAGTAGTGGGCGCTCAAGTATGTCCATTTTAAGTAGTAAAATAGATAGGCTGTTCGTTTTTTCTAGCATATTTGTAGTACGGGCTAGTCTTCTCAGATCTGTAGGGGCTATATTGGATAAGATGGGTAACCATTATGTTTAAGTTGACCTAACAGTGTCTGACATAGTATGATTCAGTTGTACATCGACTTTCCTGCAATGAGCGTTTTTAATCCATACAGGCGTCCAAGATTTTTTAGAAACTCTGGCAGAATTTCATCTGTTCCAGCTGTTTTTCCGTTTTTTACAGCTTTTAGAGCGTTAAAGACCTCTTCAGCAACTATATATTATTTACTGCCGACAGCGACTAATGTATTATATCGTAATATTTTTTCGTCTATCGATTTTTTAAGATTTGAAATAACTTTTCTACATTTTTAATTTCATCATAATATAAGGAATCGTTTGTTATATATTTGAGAATTATAGACTTGTGGTAGGTAACTGGTAAATGGTAATTCAGTCTTTATCGAAGATGATAGTTGAATTTTGAATTACAGTATAAAAGAGAAAAATCCAGTTAAGTTGATTTGTAGAGTAACAAAAAATTGTATTTAAATATTACGAAAGTATTTAAAAGTATAAATAAATATAAATATTTTTTCTAAGTATCTTTATTAATACGCAAATATTTTATTGACGGAATTTTCGAATACGTATTTTAAATACTTTTTAAAATAAGTCTCAGTATCGTTTGTATACTCGATTACTTTTAAAAAAATGTCTTTTTTTTTAAATCCTATATAAATTCTGAAACGACGAGAACGAGTCCAGTGGTGTGTACATGATGTATGAAGGGGACGATTGGAATATACCCTCTCATTCGCTTAAAAAAAAAACAACTATGAATACCTGCTTATTTAGTAATTTTTATCTTGAAATGATTACATACTTATTTCAGTCGTGTTACTAAGAAAAAAGTTTTATTTATTGAATAATTATATTGGCTTTTTCGGATCCGGCTAGTAAATCCTCACTATCGAGTATCGGGTTCGGTATAACAAAAGATAATTATTTACGACTTATTCGTGAGTCGCGATTATTATTTACTGCATCGCCTCTCAGTGAAATTCCTGCAGATACCACTCTGTCCGACCTTACAGGTCTTATTCTAAAGATTTCTTTCAACTACCCATAAGTCGTCCCACTAGTAAAAAAAAATAAAATGCCATAAGTAGCGTAACAACTTCTTAGATTTCAAGAATTCCCAATAATAAAATTACGAGACACGATATGAGAATAGCCATACCCAAGTCACAACTACCTAACCTTGGGAATTGTTTTTTTTTGTTTACGGTACCTACATTGTACCTTAATTTTAGTATTGCTTGTACAAAGATGTTTTTTTTTTTTCTATACTATGTACAAAAATTCTACCAGGAATCTCGCTCTGAAGTATCAAGTATGGTGCATTTTCTGAAATGGAATATTCCCAGTGTGGTACTTTAAGGCGGTCATTTTTTTTTGAATTTTCTAGGAGTTTTCTCAATAAATGGAAAAAACCGGGAAAAAACGTAGGAAAAACGAGGAAATCAGTACAATATTAAACAAATATTGTTAAAAAAAATATAATATGTATGTAATTATTTTACCATAATATAATATATATATATTGTTGAAAAAGCAACACTATTAACCGAACTCCGCTCGGAATCATTTTTCGTTAGCAGTGGTTAATCGTTGCGTACAGATATATATTCAATACATTCAATACCTTCTCAACTTCTCACCTACAACAGTGGCCCACCCACGTGCGAAGTATGTCCGTCTCTTTATCTAATGACTTCTCTACCCAATTCGGGTTAGAATATGGCCTGCGATTTCAAGTAATATCTATGTAAGTGACCATAGGTGCCCGTAGTGGAGACAAGACGGGGCATCTGCCCCTCTGGACTTCAAAATTTCAAATATAATTTTATTTTAAACGCTTTTTGGCGTTTTTTGCACTTTATGACCCTCAATGAAAAATTTCCTGTGGACGCCTATTTTTCAAACTTTATTGTATGACATTGGATTTAACTATTCCGGAAGTTTAGCGCAGAAACGGTTTTCGAACGCGAGAATACCGCGCCAATAGCCCGAATTCAAATTTCGTTTAAAAACCAATACCTACCTATTGTTTTTTTTTTAGGACCTATTCGTTTTCGTCGTCAGAATAACATTTAGGTTGACGCGAGTGGACTTGTAGGATAACGGAGAGAAGGACCAAATTTATTATCTGATTCAATTACGGACGGGAGGTCGATCTCGACTAAAACCATATTGAACAATAATAATAATAAAAAAAAAAAAACAGTACCGTCCGTCCCTAAAGGAATTCAGTTTTTTTTTTCCTGGCGATTCTACCGTTTTCGTTTTGATTTTTGTACGGCACAACAATAGGCGTGCCGGATGTGCCTAAGCACTACCCAAACATTTTTTTTTTTTTTTTTCCCGTATACTATTATGTTCGCACACGACAACTGCAGCAGTTGGTACATGTTTTATATTTTATAAAATCGCCGTCACTTTATTTTTCAATTTAAAATTTAATTCATGTACATTTCGACTTCACTGCCAATTTCGTTCTTATCTTTTACGACTGTGTCACCGAACATACTGGCCCGATTGTAATTATCCAAGTTGTTATTTATTTATAGACTAGGATTATCGATTGATTAATACAAAGAAATATATTTACTTTTTCAGAGTTTATGATATTTAATCAGGTAATTGATATACCATTGTGAAAACTAATTTTTAAAGACATTGTTTACAGAATCAATTATTATTATGTATTATCTGCGAATGTGATTCGATAGAGTTGTATTGGAAGTGTTGAATGACTATAGTCCAAAATTATAAACGTACACTCGTTTGTCAAGCAAAAATAATTTACGAAAAATATTTCGTTAATTATTTTTCAAAACTATTTCACAGAGGCAGTCGAAAAATAAAATTATCATATTAGCAACGTTTCTATTATTTGGCGACCCGAAATTGGGTCGGGGCCATATGGTTTGAGAAACGCTGATCCAGCAGGTGTCGAAAGGTAATAAAAGCCGATTGGGAGGGGCCCGGTGGGATTCCCCGGGTATAATTAATTTTTCCCGGGCGCGGACCCGAGCTTAAAATTATGAGCCTGGGCACGCCTGCAGGTACGGCGTTCATTATCCCGGAGGAGGTTCCGCGAACGATACGATCGCGGCGACCGGGGCGGTTTTCCGTCGACCGTCCCGCGACGGGCGGCGGCCGGTCGACGGCTACGACGACCGTTGCGGAACGTTCGCGTGTCGGTCGAAAATCGTCGTCGGCGGCGCGTCGCTCACGCCCGGTTCGCGTGATGATGATAATGAGAATTACGCACTCGTTTCGGATTGAATTACGAGAGAACGAAAATACCCGATAACAAATTATAAATTTCCATTATCGTTAATTGTTGTTGCGATAATTAATATTGTAATATGTAATTACGACGGAGAGTTCCGTCTTTGTGCACAGTATTATCGGTGGCGCGCGCGCACAAATCGTACACGTCCAGCAGATGTGCGCGCGCGCACTCGCACTCGCGCGGCCCCGCAGGAATTTCACACACGCGCGCCCGACCGCACACCGAGTCCCCGTCAGATTGTACGTCTCGATCGGTGGTGCGTGCGTGCGGTACCACACTCGTACTCGGTATTATTATTGTTAGGTATGGTTATTATTATTATGATTATTATTATTATGTTACACTCGTACGAAATAACGCGATTATTATTGTATTCGCGTAATATTATCGTGTCGCGTACGTAACGATTTCGCGTTTTATCTGTTCTTAAAAAAAAAAAAAAAAATAATAAAAAAAAACACACACACACACACGTAACCAAACCGTCGGATTCGCGATTCATACCCGTTCGTTGCCGTCGCCGTTATCTCGAGAGTAAAATAGTTAGGTGGTACGACTACTGCACACGACTGTCCAGGTGCACGTAGGTTCGCGGCGGATACCGGAAACGCGTAAATATTAATAATAATAATTAAATCGTCGCCATATTAATGAAACGCCAATAATTAAACGCTAATGAGTGCAATAATTAATAATTGTTACTGTTGTAGGTAATCGATCGTGTGCGCGGAGGCGGTGGTCAGATATTTGTTCCGCGAGAAACGATTCCGTCGTCGTCGTCGTCGTCGTCGTCGGCTATCGCTGCGCCTCCGGCCCGATAACACGGACCCGTTTTTTACGCGTTAATCTTTTTTTTTTTCCTCTGTTCAATACCGAACGTTGTAATATTTTTCTCCTCTCCGAGTCCTCGACCGATAACGCACACACGAAAAATGACGTTCTGCGTACACCACGACCCGAAGACCCGACCAGAACGAGTTTGAGAATCTCCTGTCGCACTCCGCTCGCGCTTCCAGTGGCATCCGTCGTTTTGGGTGAGTATAATTACCCAATATTATCGTCACACTTTATACGTCCCGTTTTCGGTAATAATCGTTTTCAGCGGTGTTGTACGATTGATTTTTTTTTATTGTTATTATTATTATTATTATTATTGCAGGCGCCTACCCGTATTGCCGTACGGCCGCGGTATTGCGACTTTGCGCGACAATCCGGTCCCGTTGTCGTCATTAGCGTAGTTAGGTAGGTATGTATGTATGTATTGTTAAGTAGGGATTTTATTTCTTTTTTTTTTGCTTTTTGCGTCGACGACCGTAAAAGAAAATTAAAAAAAAAAACGTGTGCGCAGCAACCCGTCTCGGCCCCGATAGGTTGTCGGATTTGTCGCCGCCTGATAACATTAACGTTTGGTACCTACTCTGTAACCTACTCGCAGAGAGGATCGGTTTTGTTGACGACGAGTTTTGAGCGTCGTCATCACAACGTTAATAACATTCCATTCTAATCCCCGAACAGCCAGCTACCTCCAGATAAACGACGACGGTCGTCGTGCATTTTGTTTACGACCGCTTCGATTGGTAATTCGACGTCGAACGATTATTGTCATTGATCAAGCGGTGTAGTGCACGTACACGGTTACACTTGTTCAATGTCATCGTCGTCGCCACCAGCAGGAATGTTACTTACCCTAACCCAACCCGACATTGTGTTTCTCGTTTACTGGACGAGTAAATTCGGTTGCTATTCCGCTCGTCGGGAGGGAAAACGGTAACTACCATATAGGTACTGCTGAGACGGCCCGCATTACATTTTTCAATGGCTGTAACATAATAATAGTTCTTAAGGTTTTTTTTTTTTTTTGAATTCAATTAATAGATTTTTCCAAGGTTTTCGGCTCCAAAATATGAATCCAGCAAATGCCAGATAGGGCCTTTGTAGGGGATAATTGGTTACAACCTGGGTTACAATGACCACATGGTCTAACTGTTACAAATGTACTCAACTAATTATTAACTTGTTATATTTTTATTTGCATATAAACAATGTTAGGTTTAGGTATTAACCCGTTACGTTTCTTTATTTTTCAATTGTCATATTTATATTGATTTACCAATATGCGTTATAATTTATAATCAACGTAGATCGGTATTAAGTTTCTTCTTTATATACATAGTTATTTCTCTGGCTATTTCAGTTTACATTAATAATCAATTAAAAATACTGATAGGCACTTACTGATTATTGAGAAGTTAAGTATTAGATTTTTGTTCAATGACCTATTTGTCTATGTCACACATCCTATTATTTGACCTGTATAATATTACATATATTAAAACAATTAGTGTTATAATGTTTCAATTAAAATATTTTAATACATTGTATTTACTATATTCTATAGTACCTAATACAGTTTCTATTTTAACGATCAAGATTTACCTAAAAGTTAAGTCTACAAAACTGAAACGTTAATTTATTAGGAAACCCGTTTTTTTAAATAAAATAATACACTTTCCCCCATCTTTAAAAATTGATTTAATATATTTTATAATAACTAACTCTGAAGATACTATTTTCTTTCATTAAGAGATACATACCTAATTGATAAATTCCTAGTTTTTTTTTAAACCACTAATGTTTTGAATTTGTATTCTTAATTTCTATTAATTAAATAAGTTGTTCAACAAAGTGCTTACTATTTAATATTTTAATGTAATCAACATTTACCTATGTTAAAGTTATCGTTTTAATTTAACTTTTATTATTGAGATTATTATTACTGTATCTACCTAACATGCCTATGTTTAATTATTTGAATGTATTTAATGCCTAACTATTTTTAAATAAATATTTTACTATTAAATATTTTTAAAATGCATTGGTAATCTACAGAACAGAGTTAATTAACTAAAAATAATATAGGTACGGGGTACCTCTTACCTAGTTGTATTTATTTGTAAAAATCATTATCTAAAATATTATATTATGATTATTATTTTAAATATTTATATTACCTACCTATTATTAAAAAATTATGTATTACTATTTGTAAATTTATATGGTACTTAAAGTTTCATGATACTTAATTATTTTTAAACATATAGTAGATTCTTGTCTGGATCCAAAAGACTGGAGTAGTGATCGAATATAAAACCAACCCATATTTTTCATGATTGACTTCGTTTTGTGTTTTGACACTTAATTATCATAAAATACACACTTTTTTCACATTATTTTGAGTATCAATAATTTTTTAGATTCTTATTATAAAATTTTAATTCATAACGTAACATTTACACGATTATAGACGCACAACATTTCAAATGAGACTGAAAAAATACTAGTATGTGAATATTAAATTTTAGCCACTCGGTACATATTACCTTAATCCTTTGTAGATAACATCGTCAAGATAAAACTATTGGTTTCTTAATTAGCATTTCATACCTACCTAGTCTAATATTTAGAAAGTGAATTAGCCATACAGTTTAAATCCTGATGAAGTTCTGTAGATAAATATTTTCAACACACATATGTGGTAAAATTGAGATTAAATTTTATTATTTCAGTTATTAATGATTTGACCCAATTTCAGTATCACAATTAAATAATATCAATACCGCATTTAGCCCTAATATTTTGACAGTTTATGTAATTCTTTGACAAACTTTTATGTAATATAATACTGACAAACACCTTAACTATATAAATTGCCACTAATTTATATATTACTATGAGTACTACTACTTTACCTTTGACTTTACTACTAATTTATATTGGTAACCATATTTTTCAACAGAATAGATAGAAAAGAAATTAAATTTAAAAAGAACTTAGATGTCAAATAGATATTTATAACTCAGAAACAGTGTATATTTTGAATTGTACCACATCTAAAATTTATGATTTCTTCATGATTATTTTTCTCTAAATTGCAACAGAAACCATCATTGAGTAAATATTACCATTTTACTCCTATTATTTGGAAAACTATATGAAAAGTTGATAATTAACCTTACAAATAGATCATCTAGGCAAAATTGTCTGTTAAGATACACTCCTGATGATTGGAGCAAGATTTATGGTAGAAAAGTAGTTCACAGATATGAAAAAAAAAAAATAGAGTAAAACCAATTTCTTGTTACTACTAGTTCTTTCTAATGATTTTGGATCTTAATCATTCTTTCCAAATTTCTGAGTAATATTTTGATTCAGTCCAACTAGACTTAAAAATAAAAAAAAACTTTCAATTAACCTACCTATTATATTATTATATGCTTCTTTTGTTACTTAATTAATTAATATATTCTTTATCTATTATTTTATTGTATTTATTCAATATTATATATTATGTGAAATGTCCTTGTAATGTTGGATTAATACAGTAATAAAATAACTATTTTGTTGTATTTTTTCTAGGTTAGTCAACAAACTAATTGCTTTGAAGGATTTGAATGCTTTTAACATCATTGTCAGGCGAAATTGAATTATAATTATGGGTTCACTTGTAGAAAACATGTCCAATTGTTCAGTATCATCTCATGATAGAGTCATTTCCCCTTCAAATCAAAATTTCTTTCAACTAATAGTTACAAGTATGTTCAAATTAAAACTTGATTATTTTAGCACAGGAAAAAAAATTTACTATGTATCTGATAAGTTTACTCTGAATTTTAATTATGTAAAATCAAAACAAATAACCATAATTTTCATACTACCTCTTATTTTATAAGATTATAAATAAAATAAATTTTTTAAAAATTAAAATCATATTTTAGTAATAATTGTATACATATTTTTTTTTTTTTTAGTTGAATCTGCACATTTAAAAAGCAATGGTGGATTAATAAGACCACATCCTTATGTTGAACTTAACATTGATGATTACAAAAGACATAAAACTGAAGTTCTCAAGAATACATATCAACCAAAATGGAATGAAGAATTTACTGTGTATGCTCATACAAATTATACGTGACATTTTATATCAGATTGATTTATATTGAATTATATTTTTAGACTTGTTACTCCTTACTCAATTTTGCATTATCGAGTGTTGGATTACTGTAAGTTTCAAAAGGATGTGCTTATAGCTGAAAAAAATATAAGTCTTTATGATATTTTATCTAATTATAATGGTATCTGTGATAATTTGGAGTTAACTATTGATTTGATGCGACCTCGCCATCATGATCATTTAGCATCAAGTTCATCTTCATCTAACAATTTTGTCAAGGTTGGAGAATTGATAACCATATTAAGTGGTTTTCAAGTTGATATGTCTCTAGTATTGAATCCTTCCAGAGAATCAGGTACTTATATTTTTCTAAAATATCTATAAATAAAATTATATATTTTTTTCTTAATAGGATTATCAGATGGTGAATTTAGTACTGGTGTTAGAGCCCGTAATCGTAATTCATCAACTGCTGCTTCAACAGGTAATTATGTTTAATAATTAAATTTATTATTTAGTATTGATTTAATTAAATTCCTTAATATTGTTGTAGATCCAAATACATCTAATCGTCATACAAATAATGCCTTAACTCATAATAACATTCGGCATCCACAATCGTCAGCACATAACTCTGCTGAAGAGTCTTGCACTATAACTGTTCATCATCAAAGTGGTCCTGTTAGTGTTACATTACCAATTGAAGAACCCCTACCACCAGGGTATGTGAAAATAGAATACCGTATTTAAATTGTTGGAGCCTAGTTTATTTTTATATTCTAATAATTGTAGTTGGGAAATGAGGTTTGATGCATATGGACGTCAATACTATGTGGATCACAATACAAAATCAACTTCTTGGGAAAAACCACAACCTTTGCCCTGTGGTTGGGAACTCAGAAGAGATAACCGTGGACGTATTTATTATGTGGACCACAATACACGCACAACAACATGGCAACGTCCAAATGTTGAAAGACTACAACATTATCAACATTGGCAAGGTGAACGAGCACATGTAGTTCAACAGGGAAACCAACGATTTCTTTATCCTCAAGTAAGAAATTTAATTCATACATACTTAAATTTATTTGATTTTTAATACTTTTTATTTGACATGATATTTTTAGCATGCTTTGGGAACAGGTTCTGGACCAAATAATAATAACACTAGTAGACAGACACCTGGTGTACCTGTAACCCCAGTTGTTGAAGAGGAAGATCGTATGGGTCAGTTACCTAATGGGTGGGAAAAGCGTATACAACCTGATGGTAGATGTTATTTTGTTAATCATAAAAGTCGCATCACTCAGTGGGAAGATCCACGTACACAAGGGTAAACAATAAAATTCCTTTAAATGTATGTATTTAAATAAAATTAATCTCTAATTACTTTAATAGAACTGAATTGATTATTGATAATTCTGATTTACCAACTGGTTGGGAAGTTAGAAAAACCACTGATGGAGTTAGATATTTTGTTGATCACAATACACACACTACTACATTTGAAGATCCTCGTACCCAAGTACCACCCATTCAATGGTAAATCAACTTGCACATAATTTAGTTAAATCATTATACATAATATAAAACATATATATATATATATATATATATATATATATGTAACATTAAATACATAATATATACATATTTTATTTTGCAATTTATATAATTTTATAGTTCAGCTGGTCCATATGGTGTACCTGCTGCTTATGAAAGGTCATTCCGTTGGAAATTGAGCCAATTTCGATATCTTTGTCAGAGTAATGCAATATCGAGTCACGTTAAAATCACTGTTTCCAGACAAACATTGTTTGAAGATTCTTACCATCAAATAATGAGATCTCCTGCCTATGAAATGAGAAAACGTTTGTATATAGTTTTCCGGGGTGAAGAAGGTTTAGATTATGGTGGCGTTTCACGGTACATACTTTTGAATATGTCTTAAATTAATATTGTTATTATAAAATATATTATTATTATTATGGTTTTTTATTTTATGATTATTATATAGAGAATGGTTCTTTTTGCTTTCTCATGAAGTACTCAACCCAATGTACTGTTTATTTGAATATGCTAACAAAAATAATTACAGCCTACAAATTAATCCTGCTTCATATGTGAATCCTGACCATTTGTTGTATTTTAAATTTATTGGACGTTTTATAGCTATGGTAAGCTTTTTTTTATTACAGTTTTAAATTTGTTATAATAATAATATTGTATTTTAATTTAAATTATAGGCTTTGTATCATGGGCGGTTCATTTATTCTGGTTTTACTATGCCATTTTATAAACGAATGTTAAACAAAAAACTTACCATGAAAGATATCGAATCTATTGATCCAGAGTTTTATAATTCATTAGTTTGGGTGCGTGACAACAATTTAGAAGAAAGTGATATTGAAATGTATTTTGGAGTTGATTTTGAAGTACTCGGTCAAGTTGTGCATCATGAGCTGATTGAAAATGGAGATAAAGTTAAGGTTACTGATGTTAATAAAGATGAATACATCAGATTAATGACTGAATGGCGAATGACACGTGGCATTGAAGAGCAAACACAAGCATTGTTAGATGGATTTAATGAAGTTGTTGCATTGGAGTGGTTGAAATATTTTGATGAACGTGAACTTGAACTCATGCTTTGTGGAATGCAAGAAATTGATGTTGAAGACTGGCAGCTACATACTATTTATCGCCATTATAATCGCACAAGCAAACAAATTAATTGGTTTTGGCAGGTATTGTAACTACTTCAATTCTTGAATTTTATGAGATATAAAATACAATTAGAAGAAATAATCTTGTTTTCGTTTTTTAAGAATGCAAATAATAGTATGGTTATAACTAGGGCTTAGATTTATATGCATTTGCATATTATTTTTTTAATAGTCTAAAAAGTAGCTAGATAAGCTACAAGTTTAAATTATAGCTAATAAATGATCTGAAATACAAAGTTATATTTTTTATGTGTACTGCATATGCCTGTATTTTACAACTTTTCATTGCATTATAGTCTAATACTTGAGTCTTTCAAACTCATTTGTTTTACTATTGTTCCTTGGTTTCATCCACATATACCTATGGTTTGTAAAGAATTTGTTTTCTTTTATTATCTAATCACTTCTAGATAAATATAATTCAATGGGGACTAGTGATACTTTTTGTTTGAATATTTTGTACATGTTTAATGCATATAATTCCAGAGAGCCCCTAGTTACAACATTTAAAAGATGTTTAGAAATTTTAAAAATAAAAAATATAAATAAATTATTTATGGACCATCAATCTTCATAAAATAAAAAAAGACAAATAACATTTTTATCAAATTAATTTAAAACAATTTGTAAATTTGCTTTGGTACAAAGAATTATCAGAATTAATCTAAAAATACAAAACTTTCCAATTTAAATATTTTAAATTTGTTAGATAATAGAAACTTTTTTTTGGATATAGAGTAGTTTACGGATACTATTTAAATAAAGGCTAACTGTTAAAATTTTTTAAATCTGTTTCATAGATATATTTTTAAATTAAACCTACATGAAATGTATATATCAATTATATATATATATAAAATTTAAAATATAATATAAGTAATAAAACTAACAATTAAAAAAAAAAGTATATTTGTAAACTTAATAAGTGAAATTATATTATTATTTTTCAATTAGAATTATAAATACTTTTTTGTTTATATGCAAGTATGTGTAAAACAAGGTATTTCAAATGTTTTTATACTTTTTGTATGAGTAACAATATTTATTCTTAATTTTAGTTTGTAAAACAAGCGGATAATGAAAAAAGAGCGAGATTATTACAATTTGTCACAGGAACATGTAGAGTCCCTGTTGGTGGATTTGCTGAACTCATGGGTAAGAATAATACTTATTAAATACTTAATATAATATGTTCCTTATATGTTCTCTTAATAGTCTGCCATGTTTTAGTAATTATAATGCATTAAATTAAACTAATATAATATATATTTTTAAATTATTTATTTGTAAAATAACAAATTGGGAGAATTTTTTGCTTTCACTCAGTGGGCATAGTGAAACAAATAATTTTACAATTTTAATCAAAATATAGATATATCTATACACATACCATATCCTGATTAGTTAACTGAAACCACTTTATAAATAGATGTTAGTATTTAATTTTATTCAATTTCAATCTTTTTTTTTTAAGTGAGATGGATTTTATATGCCTTTCTGATTTATGAATTTTTTTACATAAATGATATCTATAATGTAGTTAAATGTTCATTAATTATAAATTAAATTTATGTATTTAGGAAGCAACGGAGCACAAAGGTTCTGTATTGAGAAAGTTGGTAAAGAAACATGGTTACCTCGATCTCATACATGTTTCAATCGATTAGACTTGCCACCATATAAGAGCTATGACCAACTAGTTGAAAAGCTCAATTATGCTATTGAGGAGACTGAAGGTTTTGCTCAGGAATGAAACACAAACATATTTGTGTTAATGTTCTCTCAGTTAGGATTTTGAATATGAATATAGTTTAACATTTAAGTACATATTTACAAAACAGAACATTAATATCATCAAATTTTGACATCACAATAATGATGAAATTGTATTTAACCTTCAGCAAGGTATAGAAATACATTCCTTAGTTTATATTATCTGTTTTTAATTTTATGTGTCGTTAATTATTTTGGGAGTTATAGCGGTTTTAATCATTGATGTTTCTTGTTATATCCCTCCCATTTTTATAGTTACTATTACTCATAGATTTTAAGAACACTGTGTTTTTATGAATAAGCGCATCTAAGTAATAAATATATAATGTAATATTAAAATGTATGTGAATGTAAAGTGTGGTGTACAACAAGGAATGAATAATATTTATTTCGAACTTTTGTTTTGATGAAAGAAAAGAAATATATACTATTTAAATAACTGGATAATACTTTTAAAAAATTATGGTCATGAATTTATGATATTTTTTTAAATTAAATATATACTAATACTATTTAAATAACTGGATATTATTTTTAAATAATTATGGTCATAAATTTATGATATTTGTTTTAATTTGATGTTTAAATTTAATGTACTTAAATATTATACATCAAAAACAAAAAAAAAATTAATCATTGCAATATTCAACAAATATTAGTGTTGAATAAACTTGTGACCTAAAGCTGCAATAATACTTAATAATTTGTATTCATCGTTGTTTTTCTTAGATTGTTGATTCATGCTTGCGCTTTTGCGTACATGTTTATTTTTTTAAAACATAAAAAGTTACCATATTTGACAATTATTGATCATTATGTATCTAAAAACATTGTGAACAATATTAGCTTAAAGTAAAGTTTATAAATAATTATTATACTATATTACAGACTTTAAAACAAATTTATTTAACCAAATATGTTTTCTTTAAAAAAATTTATATATTATAATATTTAATTCTATACTGTAAATGTATTATTCTCGTATTTGTTTTATTTTAATCATTTTTATTAATTATGTTTAGACATACTACTGGATTAGTATGCTTTTCACAAATACACAACATTATAAATGCTATTTTGGCAATTATTTAAAGCATTGTTATTATGTAAATATATATTTTAGAATATTATATTATCTCAGCATTGTTAAATAATATATATCAATAAAAATATACTATAAAATCTATTTGTCTTTTCTCTATGTATGTCAAGTGCATAAGTAGAAATTGGGCACACAATGTCTAGACAAAATTGTATTTTAATTAATTAATAAACCATGCAACACTTAATATGTTGAGATAAAAAGTACAAATGCTAATGTAACGCATTTATAAATTCAATAATAATAGGGTTTTTTTTTTTGTAATTATCTGACACCTGAAATAATTGGTTCTTTTTAATATTTTAAATAATTTATTCACTACAGTGAATGAATGCTACAGCTTCTGCTACAGTTAAAATAATATTAAGTTTTTTTTAAGGTGAGAGAATTTTGCATTAAACAATTTAAAATATGTAAATACTTTTTAAAAAACAATAAAAATAACCACTTTGTAAAATAGATTTTTAGAAAATGTTAAGTAGCTTAAATTTTCAACTTATAATAAATTATAAACAAATATAATATTTAAATTTTCAGTAAGTTCAAAAAATTATAGAAAATAAATAATCATACCTAGACCCAAAGATATTTAAGGTGTCAGATCTTCATGTTAAACTTTATATTATATTATATCTATTTTTTGTTTTACGGTTATTTATTTCAGTTATATATTCCAATAACACAAGCACTTATTATTATTGTACAATAATGCAAATTGTTTTATTAGTTTCTTTTTATAAAACTGTTAAACGATAATAATTATTGTTTTATATTTTATTGAATTTTTTAATTTGATTTGTGCTTTATATATTGTTATTTTACAATTTATTTCAACAATATAAATATTTATACACAATAAATAATTGTCCAACATGCAATATTGTAATTAAATGGTTTATGCTTTGAAAAATTTAAAAAATTTATTTTATTTTATTATTTTTGAAAAATTTGAAAAAATCCATTCTATTGAGTTTATTCTTCTGGATATTTTGACGTTTCAAATTTTTTTAACATTAATAATTTAAAATAATTTTTCAAAAGTATTAAAATAAGGCATAAGGATTTAATTAAAATATAAATACTTGTAGTTCTTTATCCCTGTGAGTAATGTGAAAAAAAAAATAATAAGCTGAATTACAACGTAGTTCTTATGTACAATGGGCCTTATCTTCACGGGACAACTGTAAATAATATGAACTATAATCGGGGGTGGCATGAAGCTCGGAACCAATGCATAATTAGAAAAAAACCGAAATCAAATTCGCTTAAAATATCCTTGGAGAGACGATTGCTGGTTAATGATAAAAAAATAATTATTTTGTAAAGTATTCGTACTGTAAGCGTATTTGAAGTTGAACGAGTATTATCGTCGACGTTCAACCATTTCCATCGGTATGAATACCCACCAATAATTAATGATAACGGTGTTGTGTTACAAATGTGTTTTTTTTTTTTCGACAATGCAGCCCCAATAAAACAACGGCGACGTGCGCAATAACCGTAATCGTACCCATAAGACGTTTGACGATATTACATGTTGGTAAATTCAGCGGTACGAATCGGAGGTGCGTACACAACACTGCGGTGCACATTACCGTCTTGTCGTACGGTGGTCCCAATAAATGCCAATTGAATTTTCACACGACCGTTGGTCGAACACCTTTGCTCGAGCGGGTCTGGTGTAACACGTCGTGTTGTAACGTATGGACAACAGTCTGTGGACAATTGCGTTTGCGCCGGCATGAGAGGGAAGAAGGACACGTACCGGACTTGTAGAGAAAAAAAAATATAAACACGTTCCGAGTTGTTTAGAGTACAGGTGGACGGGTATTATAAAATGCACGTGGTCGTATTGCCTGCGATACGCTTGTACACGGGCGGTGGCGTTCTCGGGATATCGCGTTGGGCGGCAGGGAAACGATAATGTATTGAAAAACGACACGCGTCGAACTGTTATCGAACTTACGAAATTCTATCGATTTCCGAGCCGGTAGGTGCATCGAGTACTTTCTTCGCGGGATCAACCGGGACTTCTCCGTGGTGGCGGCCAGCATCCGTTCATCCGTTCACGGCGTTTCCGACGATGTCATTAAATGACGAACCGCTGTCGTCAACGTTATAGTATTCCTACCGCTGCGAGGCTACCAGAATTCTCATCGGGCACGTCGGACGACAGACACGGAGATCGATTGACCCGTTTAAATGTCCGTCGTGTCGGTTAAATACGTGACGCGAACCGGGCCGGTTATAAAACCCGAAACTGCGATAGAGTTATTAATGTACGCGACCACAGACACACGGGAGCGCGTAAAACGACCGAAAATAAATCATCCGGAAATGTTACACTGCGGCTGCGGTATAGAGATAAGGTCAGATCTTCCGAAAAACGACAACGCGTGATTAGAAATGAACAAAGAGCAGAGGGATTCCGTGCGTATTATTTGAAAATGAAAAACCAGACGTTAACCGGATGCCCCAAGTAACCCACCTCCGTGTTCTTTTGAATTTCCAATCGACTAAGCCAATTGGATGCTTGTCCACACTTGAATAGCTTAAATACAAATGGCCGAAGATAAAAATAATAGGTAATAATTTTGAACTGGATTTAATAACACATATTTTAAAATCGTAGAAAACGATGGCGAAATGTTATCGTTTTATTATTATTTTTTTTTTGTTTGTTCGAAATTGTGTCGGTATCATGAGATGCACGTGCTTTCAAATTTCTCGATTTTTGTTCGAGATATCGACGTTCGAAATGTCCAAAACGTTTTCCAATTCAACATTTTCTGATTAAAAACAACGATAAGAAATGTACAAGTTGGCAACCGGTGGAGTTTCGGGCGGTTCGACTTAAATCCGTTCGGTTGACATATTTTCGGCTAAAACACGGTTCGGCTCGTTTTATAGTCCCCACCGCCCCCCCCCATCCGCGGACATAAACACGGTCCGCAACCGTCTTAGATAAATTAACTAAAGTTCAGTTTAACACGTCTATGGTAATCGTGCGTGGTCTGTAATCTGCGTACGAATACTGTGGAAAACGATAACGATGCCAAAAATTGTTTATCGGTTATTATCACTGAATATCAGTTGAACGGCCATGTTACCCACACGTTAAATAAAAAGACCATGGGGTGAACCATCTATCATACCCCGCCACCCACCCCACCACCGGTGAGAACGTCCACGTATGTAGATATCGGGTATGTAATCGATTTAGATGTATAATCATTGTTTTATTGATTAAAATCTTTTTTTTTTTCTCCTAAATGTCAATATTTAATTACGGATACCGAAACTTCTGTTCTGTTATTAATAATCGTGCGCAGAAATAAGTTTCGGGATGTGTTTTTGAAAATCATCTATTGAAAATTAGAAAATTAGAACAATAATGTTACATTCAAATTAAATAAGTAAATTAGCCATACAAAAAAAAATCAAACGTTTCTTTTGTTTTCGGTCTTCAAACTCCCTCCAGCGCGCTGCAGCGTACCGAAGTAAATTTTTTATTTAAATCGCAACAAAAAACAAAATTGAAAATAATACATTTCGAACAATTTCCCATTTTTCTCAGAGTTTTCCCAATTATTTTGAAAAACTGCTTGGAAAATCACCATTGGATGACCTCCCAAAGGGACCACCCCAGGAAAATTTCCTTTCAGAAAAGGTATTACACTTGAAAATCAAAGCATGATTTCTAGTAGAATTTTTGTATACAGCATAAAAAAAATAAAAATCATTGTAAAACCAATTCTCAATTCGTACAAAATATTAAAGTATTAATAAAAAAAAAAGTATCGGGAATTTCGAAAAATTTGTCGAATAAGGTATGTAAAATCGGTAAAAAAAGTCTGCATATTCTAAGGTACCTATGGGCTATAACACGAATAAATCTAAGCGTTTTTACCTTTTAACCTAATCGTAGAAGTGTTTTCCGAGAGTAAAAAAAATACACTCTTGTAAAACGAATAGCTCCTTCGTTAGAATTTAATAGCTCACAGAAATTAAGAACAAATGTGTAAATACTATAATATTACAGGTTAATTTGTTTTTTTCTCATATTATAATGACAACACACACGCAATTGTCATTAAAATACTCAACAATTTCATTTTTAATTCCCAGTGAAGTGTGGTGACAATGTTTAAATCTTATAATGTTAAGTGTTGTAACTTTTCTGCCAGGAATCTTGGCAAAAGAGCTTTTTGTGACATTCTGGATCTAGCTGGTGCATTGAGGAAATTTGTTTTTTTATTTTCCATGTTGTTTTATTAAAAACTGGGAAAAAACAGTTGAAAAACGGGAAAGTTCGCGGCATTATATGTAACGGTTTCATTATTTTTTGATTGTGTATTTTTTTTTTTTTTTTGTCGTAATTTGGTTAAAAATAACCGTAGAATACTTACTATATCATAGCTTTACCGAGACGTAGTAGAATTTTCAAAAAAATTCTAGCGATTTTTCAATTATTATTTCAAGCTAAATTTACTGCTATTATCTTCTAAGCATAAAAATATCTGCCGAAATGCCCGCATACTTACAACACTTTAACAACACATTTAAGAAAGGTATCAATATAATTGCAACTGAAGATAATACGAATTTCGGAAGTAAGAGCTGTCTAAGTCATGCTAATGAGCTTTGTAGGACGCTTAGCTAAAATATTAATAACTTTTGTACCGTAAATCAATTAAAAAACATTTTATATTAAGGATAATTTGACCAAATTCAACCACCCATAATTTCAATCATTAATATTTGTATCTCTTTTTAGATTTTGAGTGGAGCGAAGCTGTTTATTTATTTTTTTCTTTTATCTTTTAACAACTTTTATACCAGAAGACTTGCTCGGATTTCTATGTACAGCACCTTTTCCGAAAGGAAATCGGTGTGGAGAGGTATATAAGGGAATTTTTCGATTTTCTTGTCAAATTTAATAAACTGAATAAAAAAACAACGAGAAAATGTTCGAAATATATTATTAAAACATTACGATTTTTTTTGCTGTGTATAACTTTGCAACCAGCAATGTTCCTCCAAATTTTAAAGATAACAATGTTTCCAAAAAGAAATTTCACTAAGGAGGTACTTTAGGGTAGACATTTTTTGATTTTCCCGATAGTTTTTCCCGGAAAATACGAAAAACCGGGAAAAACAGGAGTACTGGGAAAATCGGTATAACACTAGTGTTCCCAATACACAACCATGTCTGTTTTTAGTATTTTTACATTCTGAGGAGCAGAGCAATAGCTAGGTAGGTACAACGTTTCAAATATGTGCACAATTCTTTATTCTAGTAAACGTAATCAAATCTGACTGAAAACTTAATTTTAGTTTCGTGTGTTTCGACATTACAGTAGTACCTCATTAATCCGGATCCCATTAAACCGGACTTCGTTTGATCCGGACAGCCGTTTAAAAACACGAGATCTACGCAGATTGTGCCGCAGACCAAAATAACGAAACTAAAATAATACTGTAAAGATCGTTTTTATCCAAAATCGATTTTCTATAACCTGGTTTTAGTAATATCATTTTTTTGATATAGTTCGTAATACTATTACCAATCAATCCTTGAAAATGGTTTTAGAAATATTGTTTTCGATTACAATCCCCGTACAAATATTTACCCGTAGCTCACACCTGCAGTATTTTCGATATTTTGTACACGCAAGTATCGGGGGCGGTCAAACGAGAGATATCCTCCACATGAGCTTTTTCCCATTGATATTTATTAAAATACATATTTTATTGTACTAACTTGTTTATAAAAAGAAAAAAAAACCATGTAATTATGATAATTGTTAAAAAATCGGCCGTGCCCTCTTCTCCCCATCATGACATGACCACTACTGCAGCAGGTATATGTATAATACCTACCTGTACCTTGGCCCTAAAATGGACCAAAAAATAAATTTTCTTTTTCACGCGCGTATATTCATATTTTATTTGTAGGTCCAGTGCACTTGTACAATCGAATATTATTTTACGAAAAAAGAAATCTCCAGTTCGCGAGCAGCAATTTTAGGCGAATAACGCAATTTATTTGCATTTTTTTTTCACGGTTTCAATTATTGCCAAACAAAAAAACAACATGAAGGTAAAACACCGGAATATAATAAGGAAAAAATAAGGTTCTATACTTGATAAGAATACATACAAATTGTCTAATCGCCGGTCGCGAATTTTTTTCATAAAATAAGATTCGTTGTTATACCCCCTATACAAATAAATAATAAAAAAAACGTCCTAGGATAATGGAGACGGGTTCCACCACTGTTCTAGATAATTTAATGCATACCTGTAAGCAACAACAAACCATTGCTTACGAAAAAACGATTCTGAACGGAGTTCAGTTGGCAGTGATGCTTTGTCAATAATATATGTCATTTTATAGTAAAAAAATTGAATAGGCTTTATACATTTTCTTTATAATTGTTTGATGTTGCACCGATTTTCCCAGTTTTCCTAAGTTTTTTCCCGGTTTACCCATGTTTTATCTCGATTTTTCACATTTGCTGGGAAAATCAAAAAATTACCTCTTTAAAGTACTTCGCTAGTGAAATGTATTTTTAAAAACATTGCTATCATTTAAAGTTGGAGCGAAATTTCTGGTAGAAAAGTTGTGCACAGAAAAAAAAAAAGGCCGTAATATAACTAATACCTAAAGATTTATTGACTTGTTGTTATACATTAAATTTGTACATAAGCGTATAGGCACAGTATCCTGTTTTTTTTCT